TCTCTCTCTCTCTCTCTCTCTCTCTCTCTCTCTCTCTCTCTCTCTCTGTGTGTGTGTGTCTCCCTTTCTCCTCCTCACTTTGAAGAAACATTGGAATTCGTCAGCCGATGGGCAAACTTTTCTTTCGAGCTTGGTACACCAAGGTTTAAAGCGGATAGACCGTAACTTCGGAAGGAATGGCATACTTCATTACCTTTTAAACGGGGCAACCGCGTCGCGAGCGTTTAAAAGAGAGGATTTGAACATAATTTTATCCGAGTTAAGGTTGATTCAGACTATACGACACGGACCGTCACGTTCCGGCAACGACACGTACCGACACCGACACGACAAAACATTAAAACACGCGTTTTAATAGAACTATTCACACTATTCCCGTTGACGGAACGTTCTAAGTATATAGTATCTAAGTATCTAAGTAATAAAACGCATGTTTTAATGTTTTTGTCGTGTCGGTGTCGGTACGTGTCGTTGCCGGCCCGTGTCGTATAGTTTGAATCGACCTTTAGAGTGTTCATCTACTTCACCTATTTAATATACAACATCGAGCAAGTTCCATTTTTTTCTGCTTTTGAACTTTATTCGGATCTGAAAGTGAACTTGTTTTACACAATTTAACGCTAACAATGATTTAACGATGACTTCTTTACCTAGAAATTGTGAAAATCCGAAGTTTATGAATGCCTTCTCGTCGCGGAGTGTAAATCATGTGGTCTGAAAGTGGATCACACTATTTTTCTAATCACGATAGGTTGAGGAATTAACGCGATATACCCAGAAGTTTTGTTCTTCGTCGCTTTTAAGAAGCTATTAAGTTTTTGAGGTCGTTAATATTATTCTTTTTTTTTGTAATGGAGTTGTACGGTTTTTACGGTGCAGTAGGCGAAATGAAGATGGATATAACTTCAACCAGACTAATGTTCTTTATCATTAATTACTTCTTGACGTGAACTTTATTCGTTATCCGTGGTCTGATCGTATGTGTTGAAACCATTTCAGAGGTAAACACACTATGTATTACACACAGCTGACTAATTATTCGTTAACTCTAAGTATTTATTTTTATGTTTTATGTATTTGTATGTATATAATATCACGTCGTAATCAATGACTAAAAAGATTTTTATTGAGCTTAAAAAGATAATTTCTAATCTATCATTCGATATAAATTTCTTATTCTTTAATATTTTTTATTAATCCATCTTATTTATTTATCTTGCCACTTGATTTGGGTAGATCATATAGGCGTGGAACTCGGTGGTTTCATAGAACCATTATTAAAGCATTATTCTACGTCTAGATAAACGAACAGTACTTATGAGTAGATACGGATAAATGGTAATTATAGTTATGTGTTTGCTACATTGATAAATGTAACAGGAAAAGGTGTGGTCTCAAGCTTTTGATTGACAATGTCCACAAATGTCTAGTTATCGCGAGGACATTACGTGTCGCGACGAGTCAATTTTTTATGATTTGAATCTGGATGATTCAACACTCTAAATTTCATACTTTAGAGTCGATAAAATGTCCAACTAGTCGCGATATATTGGCGTCACAGTAATTGATATATCATTCGAACTTTGCTCCAAAAATGTGAAAATATTACATATTTCCTCATAGTTCTTCGCGTTTCGTCACTGATGGAACAACACCGTCGCGTGCGACCTTCCAAATTCGTCCACCGATAAGATTAACGTTCCAAAAGCGTGCGATCGGTCTTCACGCTATTTCTCACAGCTTCTTCAAACTATCGTCGTCCAACGATGCGTCGTTAAAGGCTGCTTACGTAGTTTCCACGGGTGCTTTGACCCCTTGTCTTGGTCCGCATGTTAACGAGGCTTCGTTAATTACACCACGCGAGATTACGACAGGGACAGGTGGCCAACGATTATCCATTATCCGTCCTAGAAACGGCTGGTCGAACGGACACAGTCGAGAATCGGAGGTAACTGCTGATTAATACACTCCATTCGCGAGCACCAAATTATCTGATCGATTCTGTCGCCGAAACGAGTACATTATTTATCGTGATAAAAAATTCAGAACGAATGAAAAATACACAACTTCGTAACTGGAGAAATGCTATTATTAAAATTTGGCAGTTAAAGAATTATACTATTCTGGATAACTCCACCTATATCAGTCGTTTCCTTCGATGTATGTATGTGGAATTTTTGATTACTCCTAAGCAAGAGGAAACATCGTGAAAAAGGGAATAGTGGAAACGAATGAATACTAAGGCGTCCCCTACGCGATCGACGGAACCTGTTCTCCAGCGGAATTGACCTATCGCGGGAAGGAAGAGGCGAATAGAAAGCGCGGATTGAATTTCACGAGTGGAAGCAGGGAAAAGCATTAGACTCGTAAAATCGGCGGTGTCTACGGGACGAGAGTATCGTAAACCCGAGCAGGACAATAAATACGTCGGTA